CACATTGTAGTTGTCCAACCCATTGCTACACAAATCGCTCCATAAACTTTATAGCTTTCCTAGTCTTGGAATCTCCCATGATCAAATAGTATAGTGACAATCGAGCAGTATTCGTTCATGCGACAAAACAGATGAGAAGAAGGAGACGAAATCTTAAAGGTTACTTGGGACTGTAGATCCTAAGGCCACGGTTTCATCCATGGCTTGGTCATCTTCAGTTGGACCACCATCACTTCACCACCAAATTTCTAGTTCCTCAGGAAAATGACTTCTCCTCGGACTGAGATTGTTGTTCTCGATCATTAGATCCTCCCTTGGATCAAACTCATTTATTCTTTCATCACGATTTTTGAGTAGGACTATCCATAATCACAACCGCTTGATGTTTGGTTGGGTCGAGTGTAGTTTTAACTGGAACAATATATTGACTTATCTGAGGTACGTAAAGGAATTCAAACGCGGCGGCCAAAGAAGAAACATGAATTGGCTCTTGTTGTTTTTCTCATTCAGTTAGGGTTTAATATATACAGTTACAGCCGATAAAAGAGATACCGTAAATATGGTAAATACAAGACATTTACGAACCCTAATACAAAATATGGTAACTTCGTTCACCCCCCCTTAAGTTGGAGCATGAAGATTCCGAATGCCCAACTTGGGAATAAAAAAATCAAACTGAGACTTGCCCAATGCCTTGGTAAATATGTCTGCAAGTTGGACATGTGTGGAAACATAACTAGGAAGGATAGCACCCTTCAAAATCTCATCCCGAATGAAATGACAATCAACCTCAATGTGTTTCGTGCGCTCATGAAAAACCGGATTCGCAGCAATGTGAAGAGCGGCCTGACTATCGCAAAACAGAGAAGCAGGCTGAGGATGAGAAACACCGAGTGAAAGTAACAAGCCTCTAAGCCATTTCAACTCACATACGACCGCAGCCATAGCACGATACTCAGCTTCAGCAGACGATCGAGCAACGGTCTGCTGCTTTTTATTCTTCCAAGAAATAGGAGAGGATCCTAATTGAACAAACCAGCCAGATAGAGAACGCCGAGTCAGAGGACAACTGGCCCAATCAGAATCGCACCAACCAGAAAGCTGTAAATCGCAATCAGCACGAAGAAGAATACCCTGACCAGGAGAACCCTTGAGATAGCGAACAACACGTAACGCCGCTTCCCAATGAGCCTGCATTGGTTTCTGCATATATTGGGCTAGAGTATGAACAACATAAGACAACTCGGGACGAGTAATGACGAGATAAATCAAACGGCCGACCAAACGACGATAGCGTTCAGGATCAGAAAGGGGCTCGGTAGTGACAAGAGAAAGCTGATGATTAGGCTCCAAAGGAAAACTGGCGGGCTTAGCACCCAACAGACCAGTCTCAGAAATGATATCCAGGGCATATTTGCGTTGGCAAAGAAAAATGCCAGTCGAGTTGCGGGCAACTTCAATCCCTAAAAAATACTTCAAAACACCCAGATCCTTCATATGAAAACACTTACTCAAATAATCTTTGAAAGTCTGAATGGCATTATGATCATTGCCCGAAATGATAAGATCGTCAACATAAACCAACACATTGAGCTGCAAATGATCACGATGTAAGGTAAAAAGCGAGTAATTAGAGTAAGACTGCTTAAAAGCATACCGACACAAAGCCGTAGCCAACTTGGCGAACCAACAACGAGGTGCCTGACGAAGTCCATAAAGAGACCGCCGAAGGCGACAAACAGTCCCCGGATGAGACGAGGAGAAACCAGGAGGCAACTTCATATAGACTTCCTCGTCAAGATCACCATGTAGGAAAGCGTTGTGAACATCCATCTGATGAAGTTCCCAGCCTTTTGTAGCAGCAACAGTGAGCAAGGTCCGCACGGTAACCATTTTGGCAACAGGAGCGAATGTCTCAGTATAATCCAGACCCTCAATCTGGTTATTACCCAAAATGACAAGACGTGCTTTAAAACTCTCAACGGAACCATCAGACCGATGCTTAATTTTAAACACCCATTTGCAGCCTATAGCCCGCTTGCCAGAAGGAAGAGACTCAAGCGTCCAAGTGTCGTTTTGTTCTAAAGCTTGAATCTCTTGCTGCATGGCGGCACACCACCGATCATCTTGTACAGCCTCCGAGAAAGTACGAGGTTCAGTATCTGCAGTAAGACTGGCCAAAAACGCCCGATGTGGAGCAGAAAAAGAATCACAAGATACATAGCGATGCAAAGGATAGGACGTACCTGAGGAGACTGACGAAGTTGGTGAGCTGAGAGAAGGGTCGGAAGAAGCAATAGTATGGGACAGAAAATCAGTGAGACGGGTGGAGCGAAACTTGGCCCGATGCCCACGACCCAGAAGTTCTACCTGTTGCGGAGGAGGGGGACTGCCCCCCCTGACCTGAAGAAGGATCAACTGAAGGACTAGACAAAGGAGCTGATTCTAAAGGATCAACTGAAACAGCAGGCGAAGAACTAGGAACAGCAGCGGAAGGAAGAGAGACCACCCGTGACTCAAACTCATCGTCTTTCAAAACGAGAGGAGGAACGGAAGAGGAAGGAACAACGGGAGAAGAGGAAGACTGATAGGGAAATTCAGACTCAGAGAAAACGACATCCCGGGAAACAAAAATCGTACCAGACTCTAAATCATAGAGCCGCCAACCCTTCTTACCAAAAGGGTACCCCAAAAAAACACACTTGCGACTGCGGCTAGAAAACTTATCACCCTTACGATCCCGGTTATGCGCATAGCACAAACAACCGAAAACACGTAAATGAGTCACAGAGGGGGGTTTGCCATAAAGAATTTCACAGGGGGTTTTCCCATTCAAAATGCGGGATGGGGTACGATTAATCAAATATCCAGCTGTCAAAACACACTCCCCCCAAAACTCAATTGGTAAGTTAGCCTGGAATCGCAAAGCACGAGCAACATTGAGAATGTGTCGATGCTTGCGTTCGACACGACCATTTTGTTGAGGAGTACCAACACAAGTGGTTTCATGAATAATGCCATGTTGGCGGAAATAATCAGTCAAGCATAAAAACTCGGTGCCATTATCACTACGAACGATTTTCACAAGTTTGTTAAAATGACGTTCAACCATGGCGAAAAATTGGAATAAAGTAGAGGAAACCTCTTTCTTATCATGCAACAAATACAGCCAAGTAGCACGAGAATAGTCATCAACAATAGTCAAGAAATAACGAGCTCCGGAAAAACTAGGTACCCGGTACGGGCCCCATAAATCACAATGAATCAAATGGAAAATTCCAGAACTAGTCGTAGAACTAAGAGGAAAGCTAGTCCGAGACTGTTTGGCACGGAAACATACATCACAAGCTTTATTACTACCCACGTTTGGACCAACAAATGGAAAAGATGCTAAGACCTGAGGAGAAGGATGACCGAGACGTTGATGCCACAGATCAAAGGAAGAAACACCAACAGGTGTAACTTGAGCAGCAATCTCCACGACCCGGAAGAAATATAACCCTTCTCGTTGCTCACCCGCTCCAATCAGCGTCCTCAAAGCGAGGTCCTGTATAATACAAAAATCACGGGTGAAATGAGCAACATATCCGGAATCCCGTAACAGCTGGGAAACAGAAATCAAATGACACAACAAAGTGGGAACATAAAGCACATTAAACAGCGTGATAGTGTCTGCTTGAGAATAACGGTGCCGGCTGAGTGGCCCAAGTGTGTTGACCATTAGGCAAACGGACCGAGACAAGCAGGAATAGCACGAACATCCGTAAAAAATTCCAAACGACCACCATATGTCTAGTTGCACCGGAATCATACATCCACAATGTAGACCAAGACATACCGAAAAGTGTGTCCGCCGAAACAGCTTAGACGATTGCAACAAATGGAGTAAAGTCCGCCACTGATCATTATTCAAACCGGTGACCGCATTGGCAGAAGCCGAAACACCGGAACTCGGAGCAAAAGAAACATTGCCAACACCCGAAGTAGATCGACCACGCCCGCGGCCACGTCCACAGCCGCGCCCAGCAGACCCACGCGACCAGCCATCCGGGTAACCCACGAGTTGAAAGCAGGTTGAAACATCATGATTGGGCTTATTACAGTGGGTGCAAAACAGGGACTTCGCCCGACCAGACCCACGACCGCCGGAAACAACTTCAGCAGCAACCGCAAAAGCAGACGAATCCCCGGACGGTGAAGGCGACGCAGAAACTGGAGCGCCGGAGGAGGAACCAGAGACGCCGGAGGGCTGAACCGCGAAGCTCATGGCGTCAGTTGTGGACTCAGCTGATTGCGTAATCTGGCGCATTTTTTCTTCACGAACCATGGCCGCATAAACTTTATTGAGGCGAGGCATGGGATCTTGCGCCAGAATGTTGGAGCAAGCCGTTCCATAGGCGGAATCATCCAAACCGAGAAGAAATTGATGAATTTTCTTAGTTTCAAGTCGTTGAGCGGCGATGGCAGGAAGATTGCACGTACATTTGCCGCACGAACACGCCGGAAATTGATTGTACGTGGCCAAAGCTTCCCAAATCTTCTTCAACCGGCCATAATAGGTAGCCATGGACAGACCCTTCTGTTTGCACGCCATCAAATCCGCCTTCAACTGTTGAATCTTCGGACCATTCACCTGGGAGAGACGTTCTTGGATGTCGGCCCACAAATCGGCAGCAACCTCCATGTGAGTGAGGGTCGAACGAAAGGAAGGTTCGACAGAGTTCATGATCCAAGAAATAATCAAGGAATTGATCGTCCACCAGTCTTCGAATTCGGGGGATGCCGGCGCCGGTTCAGGAATTGAGCCATCCACAAAGCCGTATTTCTTTCGGGCCCGTAACGCAGTCTTGACGGCGCTGCACCATTCATCGTAATTGTGCTCGCCTTGAAGCTGAACTTGCATGATGGATTGACCCGGCTGATCACTGCCGGAGATATCATACGGAGAGATCGTTCTACGACGAGAGAAATCGTCGGTGTGCGGACGATCACGGCCATCCTCATCCGTCGACAGAGAGACGGACTTGTTGGACTGAGGAGGATCGGAGGGAAGCGTCATGCTATAGAACGCAGAGGGATTTGCAACAGGAAGAACAAGTTGGCGATTGATACCATAAAGGAATTCAAACGCGGCGGCCAAAGAAGAAACATGAATTGGCTCTTGTTGTTTTTCTCATTCAGTTAGGGTTTAATATATACAGTTACAGCCGATAAAAGAGATACCGTAAATATGGTAAATACAAGACATTTACGAACCCTAGTACAAAATATGGTAACTTCGTTCAGTACGAATGCTTCTAAATCCGCAATAGCATCAGAACGAGCCGCCGGCCTAGATTTAACATCGTCAAGTGTCTCAATGGGTGGTGGAGAAGAAATTATACATGATATGGGTGTTACAGTCTTATTCTGTCTATTCCTTTTCTTTGATTGACTAGTCTCCCGCCATTCCTTCCTTATCATTCCCAAATCACCGCCTCCCATTATCACCGTATTACCACCATTACTCCCTTCTCCTGATTTTGCACTAATCGCAAAATTTAAAATCCACATTATCCAAGTTAGCAGGCATATCAAATCTAGAACCAGAATTCTGATGCTAATTGATATTATTTCCAAGTTTATCCATAGCCCCTGTATCACGCCGGAATTTGGACCTTTCTTTCTGCGGAACATGCATCAATTCTCCATACTGCTTGTTTTGCAACACTGTTTCCATCACTGGATCCTCCCCCGAACGGCGTTCCCTTGCGCCACTGTCTTCGTTCTCATGATTTTGTTGCGGGATCAGCTGCTCAGGGCCATTAGCCCTCCCATGGCCATACCTACCACAAGAAAATCTTTGGAATTACATAAATTTTAATCACGTAATGTACTATTTCCATATACTCCCTCCGTCCCATAATTATTGTCCAATTTGGGCTTTCATTTCTAGTTCAAATTATACTGAAAATGAAATCTCAAACCAGACAACAATTTTGGGACAGAGGAAGTAATAATCAAATAATACCAAAAAAAAAAAAAAAAGTTGACCGACTTTTCTATTGAAGTTTCTGAGGGGGGGTCCATGTGTGCATATACCATGCAAGTCAGCAAGATTTCTTCCTTCGGTTTCCTTTCCTCCAAAGTTCGTTTAATTAAATTCCGAGTTGCTCATACACACACTCACGCAGTAATCAACTCCCGGAATTCTTCAAACAGGTTCTCCTTCCTTCCTCTCAATCTGAATTTCAATATCAATCGTCCCCTGTTTGACAGTTATTACTTCCAATTAGCCTCCGGTGCATGATTGAATCCTGCCCTAATTCAGTTTCCTTTTTTTTGTTATCATATCTTAGTCTTTCACTTGATTGTCGGTTTGCTTTGATCAGGGTTTTGAATTCGTCTTTGTCTAGCGAAGTTTTTTTTTTTTTTTTTTAATTTTTTAGGTTGGGCGTTTTGCTTCCTGTTCATAATCTGATTTATGATTGATGGGGGTTTGGGGCGGCCATTAGGCGCATGTTTTTGCTTTTTCCTATTTCTGGCTAATTTCTGTTTTTCTTCAGTTTTAGATTTTCCCCAATTTCTATGTCAGATTGAAACTTGGATTTTGTTTGCATTGATTCATTGAAAAGCTCCTGAAGACTTAGATAAATCTCTGGATTTCCAACTAGCCTTACAACAACGTGTTTGAGATGAATTGTTATAGAATTAATCCTTCATTTGAGTGAGTAATTTGTCACTTTGCGATGGGGGATGAGAACCCAAACCCCATGAATCTCGGATCTCATTCCAGCATTACTCGAGGTTTAAGTGAAATTCATTACCCGGGGACAGATAACTTGGAGGCCGGCTCCATGGATAGTCTCAGAGAAGAACTTGGGCAGGGGAGGCAACCTAGTGACCGTGTTGCAGCTGATGAATCGTCTGTGAATGGGATTGAGATTAAACGTTTTGATGGTAATAGTCAGTTATTCAAAAGTAAAGAGGCTTTGGTGAAGAAGGACGATGAGGAAAAAGGTTCTGCTGATGCTGCTTTGGGCTGTTTTGATTGCAGAATATGTTTGGACTTAGCTAAAGACCCTGTTGTGACTTGTTGCGGCCACTTGTTTTGCTGGCATTGTATCTATAGGTGGCTAAGCTTCCGGTCAGCTGCCTCCAAGGAGTGTCCAGTATGTAAGGGAGAGGTGTTGATAAGTAGCATTACCCCAATCCATGGCCGTTTGGGGACTAATGATCAACATCCTAAAACCTTTACAACTTCGAAGATCCCTCCTAGGCCTGCGGCGCGTCGTGTAGAAAGCTGGAAAGAGGCATTTCAAAGGATGCTTTTTTCAGTTCCTACGGAAGATTTAGTTCGGCGCCTTGGACGTAAAATAGACTTGAATGCAGTACATCCACAACATTTTGCTGATGCTTCTTCACAAGGGTCGTCTGAGAAAACTAATCTGGTGCTCAACTGGATACTGACATCGAAAGGAAGGCGTGGAGAACAGAATTACACACTCTCACCAAGTGATGCAGTTGATTTCTCACCAATCAGTCCCGCATCAAATTCAAATACAGCTGGTACATTCTCTGATATATCATTAATAGGGTCAGAATTTCATGGCAATCCACTGGATAGAAATCAGGAACAAGAACTGCATTTCCTAGCTGTTGATGATGATAGGGATGATGAATTTTCAAGGATTGCTGCAGATATCCACTCAGACCAGACGCTGGAATCTGCCGCGGAATTTGATTCTGGAACCACCAGAAGATCTGACAATGCTTTAACTGTTCCAGAAGCGGACAACGAAAATTCACGACCCTTTAGGCGGAGGAGGTTGAGTTGAGTTTAAGTTTGACTCCTGTTTATGCTGGCAGCCTCTCAAATTTTCAATCTATATTCTCACTGTCCTATCAGATCCTGGTTGTGGCAGTCTGGCAGTGTTGTTAAAAGTTTGAAAGTAGCTCCTCTGTTCTGCCTTTTAGTGTTCGGAAAAACAATTTGTTTTAAACAAATAGAACATGAATCGAAAGGTAGATAATGTTCATGAGCTTCAATTTAGGACTTGGATTTGGTGGATTTGGCTTTGATTGCCCTGTTACGAGAACGTAAGTTCTGCATTGAATGAATTTGTTTAAATTACAGAAATATTGATGAGCAGCAGTTCGTTGGCTCAGTTATATGTCCTGCATTTCAATCATTCATTATTATAGAGGTGATTTTCTGGTGATGCTCCAAGGTTTTGCATCTCTTCTTAGAAAGTATTTTCCATTAATTGAGAAAAAAAAAAAAAAAAAAAGACACAGACAGCTCCAAGTATTAAGCAGAACAATATCTGGGTTTAGAACCTCCTTAAAAGAGTCACAATCATTAATTAAGTGGAAAGACATAAACCAGAATACCAGATCAAGTGGAATAACTTTTTTCATCAAAAGGGGTAATCCAGGATGTAATCTAGATGAGGCTCATTTAAATACTGATGGAACAAGGAACTCCAAATCCATGGCACGGTAGAGATATCTAAAAACTGTTAATCCGCCACCCCCAATCCATCCACAACATATAAGGCAGGACGATCTGTTGTGTCAACACCAAAAAGCTAGCCAGGGAACCCTCGTCTCCCAAAAGGCGTCCAGGAGGTGTGTTAGTATTTTGCCGGAAAGATCCTGATCCTGTGATCCATGGATTCAGGATTCACGAGTTTCCCCCCACCATAATTAAGGTGCGGGAGCATAATCATTGACGGGCATCCATAGTCAGAAAGATCATATACTTCTCCTGCATCGTAAGGATTAGAGACAGGCGGTGAATCGGACAGGGGTTGGGTGATTTTGGATCCATCGGGGCGATCATTAGACCACTCCGTCTATAGCTGATGGTGTTGCGCCTTTCGTCTATACCCAGAAGGACTAGTTGTAATAAAAAATAAAAAAAAATGGGTTTTGGAGTTTGGACAACACCCAAACAAATTGGGGTAATGCACAAGAATCCCCATTGTTTCAGAAAGCACACGTTCTCCCTGTGATTTTAATATATATATATATATATATATACACAAAAACTCTCCCGTACTTTTTCCAAACGTGTAAATTGGATGGAAACCGTATAAACTAATGTTGTTAATTCCTTCCCCCTACTATCCTTGGTATAAGAAAGCAACTAAACATTGACAAATTTATTTTCTCTCAAAAGAAATCACCTAATTTTGTTTCTCCAAACACTTACAAAATAATTGCAGGTAAATTCTTCACTATATTTTTTCTGTTTTCTTTGAGTTGGTTTTCGTGCAATTGGAATCCCAACTTAGAGCAATCACAATGGTGGTGTAGTGTCAGACACTACACCGCCTTTTTAATGGACTAGCCATTGGAGTGGGTGTAAAGAAGTTACACTGGATAGTGTAGACAAACTCCAAAAAATTGTCAAGTTTTATGACAGATGGTCCCACAATACAAGAAGGTTCTTTTTGAAAAACAAATACAGGAAGTAAAAGAGTCTTGTGCCAGAATGAAAAAATAAAAACACAACATGGGACTCATTTTTTATTGGTTCAACCGGTAGAAAAAATAATGGATGAAAATATAATGTAGTGGTTCTATGACGTGGCACTAAGAGATTTCCTATATTGGTTCAACCATTGAGGTTGCTCTTAGTGACATAGATGAATCTTGTTGACATTGCAAACGGGTTGCTCCCTCGCAAGTGATGGTCCATTGATTGCTCTTCTTTCCATCCTACAACAATCAAATACTCCCTCCGTCCCATAATTATTGTCCACTTTCGCAAAAAAAATTTGTCCCAAATTATTGTCCAATTTGACTTTTTATGGACTAAATTACACAGTTGTCCTTTAATCTATTTATTGTAAAGTGTAAATCTATCCACGCACAACACGCACAACACACACAATAGAAGAGAACACAACGCAAAAGTAGCGAAATCAAGCTCATATTCCCACGGCTCAAAGCGGCGGAGAGGATGAGGTAACCGGGTGGTTGTCGGAAACGAATATGGGAAGAAATCTTTCTTGAGTGATTAAATTGGTGTATTGGATTTATTTCTGATCTCGGCGGACCCTATCTCTTGCAGATCCCGGCGATGAGTCTCCGGCACCGACTCAGATCGAGTAGCGAGGGTCTTCACCAGACCGCCAAAGCTCCATCCACTAACACACGTAGCAGAACAAGGAATAGAACCACCATCACGACTGTGTCTATTTGAAAACAGATTATGTCTTACCCCCTTCTTGGATTTCTCTCAGCCTACCAATTTTTCATTATAATTATGTTTTTTTCCTCTATTCTTTGGTTGATGATGACTGTGTCAAATGAGTGTCACTGATTTTGGCGTTATTTTTTGGATTCACCTCTGGGAGAATTGACAAGCGTATCTTTTGTGAATCTTGGGCTTCTTATTCAAGTGGCTGGCCCAGCAGCCTGGAGAGTTTAGATCGTACACCTTTTTTCAATTTACAAGAAGTGCCCGATGGGCAATATGTTTTTCATCGTAAATCTCCCCGGAGTTGTTCTCATCGTCGGTTTCCTCAGCTGTCTCATCCGTAAAATCTTAGACAGAAGAATCATGTTCGGAAACATCAGCTTAGAGTGGAAAGATTTGAAATTCGTCATTTGAAAAATTGATTCACTGTTTGATAGTGAAGAATGAATTCTTGAGCTTTAGTTGAATATTTGGATTGGGGTTGATTTTTGCATTTTTGTCGGTGTTAGTCTTAGAAAACGAGTAACCGATTAAACAATTACATGGACAGGGGTATATCTGGAAGTTTAAGTCAAAATATAGTTTAAATTTGACCAAAAATAAATTCTTCTATCTTGTTTACACTGGACAATAATTATGAGACCGAAAGAGTACCTCAAATACCACTTCATTGATTTGGGTACATTGAGCATTTCTTGAAACATAAATGGGTAGATAAAATCAAACTAAACAGAGGATACTTATGCTACGTGTCCTGCAATATTTTCGAAAGGGTTTGGTAAGTAGGCAAAAAAATTTTGTTCTTCCATCAATCAATTCAGTAATGGGACTTTTCATATATCTCAATGTTTTTTTTTAAAATATATATATATATATATATATATATATATATATATATATTTGGTGATATGGACAGTACTACGCAAACTACCGTCTCAATTCTCAGGTAATCCTTGAGGTTATGTGTATTTCCGAAATGATTTCGGTGATTTATGTGTCAAATTTCGGGTCACCTATAAGGGCCGCGATCAATTATATTATGATGATATTATAAGGTTCATTCGTGAAATATGTCTGAAATGTAATATTGTGTGGTATGATTTAGTGAAGTGCTTAGATGATTTTGAATGTTTTCTCTAAATGTAATATTTTGTACATGGGTGGTATGTTTTATTGTTATTTAAGTGATAATGTTTTTCTAAAATTCTGAAATACATATTAACCGTCTTTATTTTATTATGATTGTTTATTTTTACAATCATGCATGAAATTAAATCATGAATTTCTCTTTTTTTTACTGTACTTGCATAACGTGAGGTGTAACCAGTAATGTAAGTCCGAGAATTTTATAGGAAAAAAGAAAATCATTTCAACGTGATATTAACTTGAATTTCGAGGCGAAAATAGGGATCTGTTTGATAAAAATTAATACTGAATAAGAAATAATGAATTCATTAAGTATTTACGGAATAACTAATAAACTAACTTTTATTACTTATATTTTGTACTGCAATTTTAACCTCACTCAATTCAGTTAGAGGTTCAGTTTTTGTTGCCAAACATGCTGAAATCAAAAGTGTTTAATGGAATAATTTTAAGTCATAATTATGTTATCAAACATATCCTAAAAAGTTAAAATCCCAAAATGCGAAAATGTTAGTTGGCCCACATTGACTTTTTTGGTGACATGGCACACAACAACCCAATCACGTTAATAGAACAAAAGGACACTCAACAATTACCATATGCAGCATATGCACCTGATTCTTTCTCCCTCCCCCTTCATTTTGAGCTGTATCCAATTCAGTCACACAAAAAAAAAAATCACACACACCCACACACAGTAGACCCAGATCCTTTGCACTATTTCAATGAAAACCTCACTTCCTATCCCCCAACCCTTAATCTTGTTCTGCAGATGATGATGATTACGAAACCCTCATATCATTTCCTAACAAAGAGGTCCTTTTTCCCCCTCTCCCTCTGTATTATTATGTTAATGGCTGTGTAAAACTGGGTTGTTTTATGCTTATTTAGCCTAGCGTATGTGTAATCGACTGGGTTTTGGCTTTTCTTATGTTATCGGCATATGGGTTTGGTTTGTTATTCAGCATATTGTGTTTTTTACCAGAAAAATTGAGTCTTTGAGGGCTCAATTTTCGGTCACACTACCTACGAGTTTAGGGTTTTGAGTGCAAAAACGGACTTTTTTGCTTGAATATGATTGGGTTGCGTAATTTTGGGTAGAAATTCTCATCTGTTGTTTTTTTTGGTTATTACTGCTACGAGCTGCTCAGATATAGAAAGATTCTGGATTCTTGGGTTCGGAAGTTTTTGATTAAAGAATAGGAGTTTTGGGTCGATTATTGCCTTTTGAATATTGAGCTTAATAGTTAATGATTGATTGGTAGGTTGAAATCTTCCATATAGTTTGGGGATGCCATTTTGATTGAGCTAAGGTAAGAGAGTTTGGTGTATTTATAGTGGAATTGATAAGTTGTGATGGCAGAAGAAACTCCTAATACTATGAATCTTGACCTTAATTTGGGGCCTATTGATCATTCTAGTGAAACTGATACTTTGGCTGCTGGGTCTGGAACAATTACGGACGACAGTATGAACTTGGAGGATTGGTTAGACAGTCCTGTTAATAGATTCAGAGAGGTAGTTAGGCATAGGCGGCGATGGAGGTCTGTTTGGAGGCACATTCCAATGCCACCAGAAGCGAGGGACATGGCATTAGAACTAATTGGTGGGGGAAGTGGGTTACAAGCTGGCGAGGGTAGTATTGCACCAGAGGAAAGAGCTGATAGACCTGCTGTTGATTCTGGCAAAGTATGTGAGGCTAACAATGGATTCTTGAAGGACGGTATTCTGAAGAAGAATGATGATGACGAGAAAGGGAGTGGAGATGCAGGTAGCTTTTTTGATTGTAATATATGCTTGGACTTGTCCAAGGATCCTGTTGTAACCTGTTGTGGTCATCTGTTTTGTTGGTCGTGCCTCTATAGATGGTTGCATGTTCATTCGGATGCTAAGGAGTGTCCGGTTTGTAAGGGGGAAGTGACGACAAAAAATCTTACCCCAATATACGGTCGTGGTAAGAATGCTCCCCGAAACCTAGAGGAGGATGATTCAAGCCTCAAGATCCCTCTTAGGCCTCAAGCACGACGGGTTGAGAGCTTGAGGCAAGTTATTCAAAGGACAGCTCTTAATCTTCCTATGGAGGAAATGATTCGGCTCCTGAATGGCCGCTTTGATTTATCTCAGGTTCACACTCACAATTCCACTGTTGATGCTCCACCACCACCACGAGAATCCCCTGAAAGAACCACTTCTTTCCTCAACCGGTTTCTCTCATCTAGAGGGATTCGCCGGGAATCCCCCAACAATGTCTTGTCAGTGTCGCCTGATGATGTAGTAGTCGATTTGAGCCACCCAAGCGATAGTACACATCCTGAGTTGATTGGGGAAAGCCAAAGTCAAAGCCGACGGATATCATCCCTTTTCCTTCGCAGGTCGAATTCAAGCCAAGCTGCCACGATTTCTCACCTGACGTCTGCTTTGAGCTCTGCTGAAAGATTGGTTGAATCGTACTTTCGCAGTAATAACCCTCCTCCTCCGGTGTCGGCAGAAAGGGATCATCATCATCATCATCAAGAGCAGCAGCAAACCTTGCCACCAGATGATAGAGATTCTATCTCCAGCATTGCTGCCGTAATACATTCAGAGAGTCAGACAGTTGATACTGCTGTGGAGATTGATTCAACAGTGTCCCGTTCCACCTCATCTTCCAGAAGAAGACAGCAGGACACTTCAAGAATTTCGGATGTTGACAGTGGGGATTCACGGGCCCCTAGGAGGAGGAGACTAGGTTGATGATCCATGAACCGGGGGCAAATTCTTTGTGGCCTGATGAAGAAGTCTGATTCATTTCTTTCAGAAATTGATAAAGCTTCCTCTCTGAATGGGTTGGCTTGCCTAAAATGTACCCTGCCATCTGCAAGCAGAACCGGTCATCCTAAAGAAAGTCAGATCTTGATATACTGGACAAGATTTTTACTTTACACTGGAGAGTAGTAAAGTAGTAAAGTTCGAATTCATTTTGATGTCATAATCACCTTTTTAAGTTAGGTTTCATGCAAACTTCTCAATTCTTTTGGGGGTGTCTATCTCTTTCGTAGGATGTACTTGGAATAAGTTACATATATAGAATATGGGGCTTGTATTTCTAGGAAATATAACCACCAGTTTCAGTACCATCTTGGTACCAATGGTATTAGACATGATAGACCTGTAGAACCTATAAATGTTCCTCTCCATTTCCAAGATATGGAAAAGGCCAGTGTCTGTCTTGTTACGAAGCTTTTTGTGCTTGCCCCTTCTTGTAATATGCTTATTCTTTTAGCTGCAATGTATTACAAAGCTTGTTGAGTTAGTTTTATGCATTATTAGATCATTCTTTGTTAGGCTTTTGAAACTGAATTTGGAAATCCAAACAAACCAGTTGAGTTTTACCTCTACCAAATTCCAAATTCAGCCAGATTCAATGTCTTCTGGTTAAATAAGAAAAGTTTCTACAGTATAATCTTTGTTTTCTTAATATGAGTAAGTTTGCTAGCCTATGCGTGTTCTCTACAATAAACCTTTCTTTTCCAAACTTACAATACACTGTTCTATTATCTTTGTATATAGTGGCCCTATCAGAGATATCATTTCTTTGTATAGTTTCCAAGATTACCTCAGTAAATAACTGAAGCATTTCACATGAATCAAACCAGCAGATGTAATGAAGAGGCAGGCAACCATGAGATCCATATCTTCAAACCCAGCTGGGACTATATTTAGATCTTTGATGGGCCTTTTGTTCTGAAAATCATTTCTTGTACCGTGGCCCTTCATCCGATAAGTATTGGGCTTAGGCCACAAACACCCACAACACCTTTTCAGATTGGCTGTGGTAAAATTGCCGCTTTTGGGCGACTTATTGGATGGAATGTATGGCTTTATGTGTCATTTTTTAGGTATTTAAAGGCTCAAAATATATAGAAAGAGATAACTCATCAATCATGCACCTAAATTCTTGGCTACACCAGTCATTTTTACATTAACGAAAGAGAAAAAGAAGAAACAACTAAATGCATTGATTATGAATTTGGACCATAATGAGGGTCGGCCTTCTAGTTTCATGATGCATTAATGGGCTTGTAACTTGCCCTACTGATACGAGTACGATGCAAAGCAAAACTCTCAGAACAATTATGTAATTCTCACTTTAAATTTAGCTTTATCGGGTTTGATTGTGTAATCTTTTTATTCTGAATATAAAATTCGTTTGTAAATCCAGTAAACACAAATAAACGAACGGTTTGGATTCCTAAAAACCCACAAACAGGACTACAGAAAGCTGTGAAAACGGGAGATATATTAAGGGAGCAATAATGAAGTGAGGGGGGAGTGTCTGAATATGAAGATGCATGATAACAAAGTTGCCTTTTTGAAAGGGATTTTGTCCCTTCTTTTTGTATCAATTTTAAGTGCAAATAAAAAAGCAGCCCAAAAGGTAGGTCAAAATATTTGTGTGCATGAATTGCCATGCATGTGCTTTTCTGGTGATAAATGATGATGATGATTGCCCCAATGGAATAATGATTAGAGACATGATCGATCAAGAACAAGAAGAAGTAGAAGAAGGAGAGCATGACAATCAAGTAATGATTTTGTCTCCTTTCATCAGGGGAGCATAATTGATTAAATTAATTAATTTATCTATTCCATACTTCTTGTTCAATTCTCTTAAGTTTCCACAAAGGTCCCCTACTTTTGAAGTTTATTTGCACTTTTTTTTTTTTTTGCATCAGAGTTTATTTGCACTTTGCATGAGAGAAAAGAAGTAGAAGCTGTCTTTTCTTGCTAGCTCTTTAATTTGAACCCTAATTTTACTTGTTCAAAATGATAGGAAAACAACTCTACATGTCAATGATGACCATTTAATTGGATACCATGAATGCATGATTGATTAACCTGGATGCCAGCTAGAGCAAATGTGATATCTCTTTTATTGTTTTGCATTGTACAAACTATGTATCATTAGTTAGTGAAACGATAAAATTTTGCTAAGGAAGTAATTCATATAATCTAAATTTGGAGCATAAATCTCTACTTGTCAAATATGTGTATCATTATAGTAGGATACACACAAATGATCTCGTACGTAGTGACCAGAGATTGACGTTTTGTTGTTTTGATTCTTGCAATACCATTAATGATGGCAAATAAACTAGTCACGCTTATACATTATGGAGGTAATGTATATTCACGTATGTCGCTATGAGCCTATGACCACGGTTTTTTCCCCTATATATTTTATGCATAGTCATAAAAGTACTAAATGGAAATACAATCCAAAAGGACAACCAAAATCTCTTTGTACTTTCATAATTTTATTTTTTAATAATTTGGTTAGTCCAAACTTTTTATATATAGTTATAAAAAAATTTTCTCAACTGACTAGATAAAATTCTGATTATTAGTATAGTACATTATTGTTATTATATTATTATTATTATTACTCCCTTTATCTCATAATTATTGTCCAGTTTTACTAAAATAAAAGATTTTATTTTTGGTCAAACTTAACTATATTTTACCTTAAACAACCGGATATATCCCTATATAAGTAATTGTTTAACCATTAAGATTTTATGGATAATATTTTTTACTAAGGACAAATGTGTAACTTGATCCATAAAAAGTCAAATTGGACAATAATTTTGGAACAAAATTTTTTGGGCAAAGTGGACAATAATTATAGGACGGAGGGAGTATTTATTTGTAACCATTGATACGAGTGACTATTTTTAAAAAAAAAAATTGTAAACACCTCAATGGATGAGACAACTGACTACCGGATATAAAACTACTCTAGTGGGTTCAAACTCTTGCTCTTGGTAGAGAGTTCCTTCCAGTCCATCACAAACCATTTGATTAACAGAAACAAATAAAACATTATTTTCTTGAGAATGGATTGATATTCTTGGACAAATGACTTGAACATCGCTTCCTTTTTCATTCAATCGGGTATAGAACATTAAACAATTAGCTGGCCTTGGCAAAGGGAAACTATATAAGAGAAATGAAAATTGTAGGAAGGGCCAAGGGAGAAATGATGGTTGTCTGCCAATTACGTGAAGAGCCTAGTTTCGAGCCAACTTTTTTGTTGGTTGATCGGGTTAGATTTTTAACAAATAATCGCGTAAATCACTTCATAATTTGAGGAATTATATCATTATGAGGATCATCATGTTTAAATGCCCCAACTAGAATGATTTGAAGAGATTAGCGCCGATCAATATTGGCTCAAAATATCATTATGTATTGATCATAAAGTAAAACATGTAAAGTAGTCCATGCTTCGATCAATCGAGAAATTGTATAGGATTTACTTTATCTGAAACAAGAATTTTTTTTATACTTCATCGGTTTCTATTTGTGATCCGTAATTTCGAACTCAATATGTATTATTTCAATATAATGAAAGAGGTCAATGACTTAAAATACTAATGATCGCGTCACATGAATGAAAGTACACGACCAAATTGTATTCTAACTATGTGAGTGAGGTAAAAAAAGTAAAATATTTTTCGTGTTAAATTTTTTTTTATTTATCAAACTCAATATATATTAAATATAGTAGATTATGCATATCAAAAGAAGGGCTAGGCGAAATAGAGTCATTAATCGTAGTAGTGTCGCAGGCAGCTCAAAGCTGGGTGGCTGAAGAACAAAATACTCATATAAAAGCTGCTCACACTATTAAACAAGGGCTTCAGCCTTCATTCGATCAGAGATAATAGGAAACCTATGGCTGGCTTTTTTACTTTTAAGTAGTTTGTCTGGGAACTGGACCTATTTTTCCACTGTCCCAAAATCTATCCAAAAGTCAGCTCTCTCGGATCCTTTCTTACACAACCCTCAAACTGTACTATATATATGCAGACCCTATGATGACCCTAATTTAGAATTTTTTTTTTTTAAAAAAAAAGAAAGAATGAGAACTACTATTAATTTATTAATAAAATAGCAAGGCATCCAGTCAAGAAAAAATATCTTGGAAATCCCACAAAAATATTCGGATTTGATGTGACTTAAGAATCATGATGAAGATTGGTAAAAGATCCGCTGCCACCCTATTCTTATTAATTTAACCTAGAAGGAAAAAAAAAAAATCATCTCTTTATGATTACATTTTTTAAGCTGGTCAAGCAACCAAAGTGACATGAGAATTGAATTGAACTGATTTTATCAGGTCAAGTCTCCCCCAATATTCTTTGTTCTTGTGCGAATTCATGTAGTAGAATTTACAACGATTGGTCTAAACAAGATCAGTGTTTTAACAAATATTTCATTTGTTATGAAATAATTATCCTGTTTATATATATATATTTATTTTATTTTTAATATTAATTGTATTAAAAATCAAAATCAAAATTGAACTAAATGACAAAGTGAAAAAGAGTCGTTGTTAGCTTCAATCTTGATGTGTTATCATATCTTGTTTAGACTTTTGATCCAAAAATAAATAAATGGAGAAGAAAGGAACGATCCATCTCTTCTTACTTGAAGAGGTTTTAATTAATTCAAACGTATCTAAAAACTTTCTTTTCCTTCAACTACGCCATGATCCAGTAGTGATTGATAATCATTACTTCGGACTCATTGGCTTTTTTTTTTTTTTCTTTCTCAAGAGTCGCCTATAATTATGACTACATTTGAAGCTTAATCAGCAGTAAGGTCTCAAATCCAAGGTAAGCAACAAATAATTATTCGCCAATATCAATTGTCAAAACTTCATTACCGTCAAGATTAATGCCAAAGTTTAACCACTTCACAATAAAAGTTTATGTCAAATGATTGATTGAGCTAGACCCCTTTTCAAACCTACACAAAATTCCCTTCTGAGTTTACATCTTTCTCTAAGTCGTAATACTTAATTATTACTCCTTCCATTTTAATTTGTAGGTCGTTTTAGGTTTGGAGATATTTTTCAAAATATAGATCGTTTTACAAATTTTAAGAAAATTAATGAGTATTTTTCTAACTTTATCCTCAATAAATGATGCTCATCTATTTTTATTTAATCTTGTTTATAGTTTCGATGTAATTAATGAGGAGTAAAATAGATATTTACCACTTAATGTTGGATGATTATCTTCTTAGGTTACGTGCCAAATCTAAAAATATTTACATTTTGAAATGGAGGTGTACTGTACATTTTAACATTCACAAGTTCTCTCTTCTTTGGTAATCAGAAAGTGATTATAGGATATACTCCTTTCATTTTCAAATAACACAATCCTTACACAGTATAAGAAACATTATATTTCAATATATAAATGAATAAATAATCATTAATATATCCCCTTAAAAGAAAAACTTATCATAATGTTATTTTTTTGGTTTTTTTTTTTTGGTATAACTTTTTTAGGATAATTTTTGAAAAAATTTTTAAAAAAAATTGTATTGAAAATAAAGAACGTAACAATACTTGTTTTGGAAACTTTTCACTTTTTTTTTTTAAAGAGACTTGTATTTCAAACTGGGACAGTATATGCGATGGGAAAAAGAAATGAAAATTTCAATATGATGACTTGTCG